ACACTCAAAGAGACACACTCAAAGAGTTCAACGTCGCCCGCGTGGTTAGAGCGTTCGCTCCAGAGTCGCTGAGTAAAGAGTTGATCCTTACGTTGCGGGTTCGAATCCCACTGCGGAACGTGGAGACCGGTCCTTCGGATGAGACCTATAAACCGAAGTCCCGTGTCGCAGTGGGTGCTGACAGGAAAAAGATCCCTCACTGCTCAATGGCCATGAGTGCCGAGTATAGGTCAAAATTTGCAGCTCTCCACCGGCAAGTGGTGGCGTCTCCATATGAGTGAAAAAATTCTCGAGAGGGACGTTAAACAATAAACAAACAAACAAACAAAGAGTTCAATCGGTGTCCCTCGGATAATCCTCAGGGATATTAAACATATGTCATATGTACAATCTTCAGATTCCCAGTTTTGATATTAAACCTATAGTTTATACAAAAAATTGAAGGAATGAATTAAAAGTATCAGATGGATGTTGAAATCTCGCATTAAGCAATTGATGGGCAATATAAAAATCATCTATCCTTCTGTTTTCGACAATGTAGAAGTGAAACAAGAATTAGATAGATTACACGATCAGTATTTACTGGTCCCAGCTGACAAAGCAGGTAACAACATTGTTTGTAAGGCTCAGTATTTGAATTGTATTTTAGAAGAACTAGGATTTAATTCTACAAGTGGTAATCCAAGTTATACCCATAGTTCCCTTTCTAAAGAGGAAATTCTTCAAATCATATGTCAATTTTGAATATTTTTAATATTCCTAACAACCAGAATGAATTTGAATTACCATATCTATATTGGATTCCAAAACTTCATAAAAATCCTTACAAACAAAGATACATAGCGGGTTCCGGTAGATGTTCTATCAAGCCTTTTATCTTTACTCCTCACTAAAATATTTACAACTTCAGGGGAACTGTACAACAGTATATTCCAGAAGTGGTGTTAGCCAGATGTGGATACTTAAAAACTCGATCCAAGGAACTTTAAGAAAATTTGAAATCACAAAATTTTACCAAAATCAAAAACCATCAAAACGTACACGTTTTCAACACTTTATACAACCATTCCCTATGATAAATTAAATTCCAGGATTTTTGACATCACAGACAGCTGCTTTTTTAATAAAAATGGAACTCGTAAATATACATATCTTGTCATTGATCATTTGCAAAATTATTTTGTTAAAAAAGTTCTGGTTGTACACACTAGTACTCTGACGTTGATATTAAAAAATATGATTGAGTTTCTGATTGACAATATCTATGTAGTTTTTGGAGATCAGGTCTTCCAACAATCTGTTGGAATTCCCATGGGTACCAAGTGCGCCCCATTATTAGCAGACCTATTTTTGTATTCATATGAAACAGAATTTATTCAAAAACTTCTACATGAGAAGAGGAAAACACTTGCTGTGGCCTTCAACTCGACATTTAGATATATCAACAACATTTTATTAATTAACAATAGTAACTTCTATTCATATGTCGATTCAATATATGCCAGTGAACTTGAAATAAAAGACACCACAGAGTCTGACACATCTGTTTCATATCTGGATATTTTACTGGAAAAAGACGTTAATGGTAATCTAACAATAAAACTTTATGATAAACGTGATGACTTCAACTTTTCTATGCTTACTCCTCCATGGCACCTGATCCCGCCTCTGATGTTTTTGGAGATCCGTGTAAACTTGCTCTGGTCCTGATTTGTATTGTTTTAATGGATTTTGAGCTTGAATACTGTTCTTTTTCTACATATTTCATTCCACACTCATTGTTTCACGTTTTTTCTATGTTGGTACATGTCACGGTGGTCTTGATTTCACGAGCAATGAATTTTCCAATATCTAAATATTGTGTATTTGTAATTAAAAAAAACTTTTAAAGAAGGAAATTATGGCAAATCATTTTTAATTTATAACAAAAGGTAACCAGTTACTAGCTTTACCCGCCTTTGTTTTAAACCTCAGTTTTTGCTGATTTCAGTGATTTACATTTCTGCTATTACAGAATTTGAAACAGGGGGTTAAAGTGTATAGCACATTTTTTATATTTGAATGTTACATTGATATGTCGACAATATTCACGGCGGCTTAATGTTCGCTAAAACTTTTGTGACCCCTAACATATTGAAATTAAAACCACCACAAAGTGTTTCAAATTTATAGCATATCTTTCTTTTATTATATATATATTTTAGAAGGTTTGGATTTATACTATCTATTTTGTTGGGTGAATCTCATACTTATCCAATAGTTTTTATAGGATCATCTCCAAAGCCAGCTTTATATTCGTTCGAGGTCCTATGGCATTAAAAATTTTAACAAGAAACAGAGTTGCATACACGGATCGACGAATTCGAGTTCAAAATCTGATTCCAAAAACCATCAATATCTGAGGCAAGGATTTACAGAATGGTGATATAACATGCAAGTTAAAAGAATTAACCGACGAACCAATCCCATGCACAAGAGAATGCAAGATACGGTAGATGCTGGATGGGGGAAGAAACAACGCTGACTTTAAAATAATCTGTTATTAATTTAAATTCATACCAAATAGAATATATCTTTTAGAACACTCCTTTTCAATAGGTGTTATGAGAAAATGTGGTTTAGTAAAAGAAATACAAAATTATATATATATATATATATATATATATATATATATATATATATATATATATATATATATATATATATATATATATATATATATATATATATATATATATAATTTAATCAATTATTTAATCTTTAAAAAATGGTGATAAGAGCAAATTCAAGCATTTTCTTTATTGTACTTCTAGTCTAAAATTTTCCCCCAATATTCACAATTCAAACATATTTATAAAGTAACAATCATTTTGGAATTTTCAGTATCAGAATTATGTATCTCAAGCAGTTTCTTTCTTAAATTTAATAACTGTTTAGTAAAAATATACTTATGTCTATTTATGGCTGACATCTTAAAAAATATCACAACCAATACAATTTTGCCATTACATGTATTAATTAAACTATATTCAGTGAAAATAAATGCCTTTTTTTCTGCTTTCAACCCATAAAAGAGAGTGGGAGTACCTTAACTTGAATACAGAAGATTATGGTAAACATTATTTGTTTTCACTATGTACAGTACACCGTGTACGCTAAATGGTTTTCTAATGCTATGAAAATTTACAATTTAATGTTTTGTCACCTGCAGAGCAGAGCGACACTTAGGGATCACTTTTCCAAGCGTCTGTCTAGCTGTCCGTCTGTCACACCTTATATCTTGAGAACTGTTAAAGATAGGGATTTGATGTTTGGTTCATGTATTGCTTGGTAGAATGGGTTTTGTAAAATACCTGGGTTACCGAACTCGTGACTTTTGAATTTGACCTAATTTTCAAAATTCACCATAGTGCCAATATACACATATTCTTCGACTTTTTATAGGTAAAGAAGGTATGGTTTTAGCTTTATTGTGCCCTAAAAATTTAATGTTTTCAAAAAGTTTTGAAACTGGCTTAAATATTGGTTGGGTATATGACTGTAATAAATCAGGAAAGAATATAGCATGATGGAGTACCATTCTGGATATATGACGTCATTAATTTGATGCATTTCTCTATTTTAAACAGAAAAAGGCTCAAAATGACCCATTTCAAGGGTTATTTTCCTTAAGAAAATAGTGTCCACAGCCGTCGCCCACATTAATTTTTGGATATGTTGTGTAAAATTCTTTGAAAAATCACATATCTCAAAATCTTCGTGGGCGATGCCTGTGGACAGTATTATCTGAAAGAAAATTCCATTGAAAATTGATGTCTTCTGCAACTTTTAAAGAAAATACGGGAAAATGCACAAGTTTATGACGTCACAATTAGCATTTGGAAGGTCATGTGAGAAAAAAGATTTGTATGATCTTTCTGCATGGAATTTCAATAATTCAAAAAGCATGAGTTTTAATTTTTGACATCACTTTTATTTTTAAGAAAAACACAGGGCAAGATTTGTATTGAAACCGTACCTTGTTCTTTGTTGCAATTTGGCAAGTGCAATGCTTGCCATGAAATATGTTGAAAAATATCAGCGTTACAGTCCACCTGACCTTGAACTTTGTCCTATTTTTAAGAATGCTCTAAATTGTTGTTATGCCTTATGAATTTTGAGAAGTATGGTTTTGTTAAATAGCATTTATAAACATGTTTATAACCTACTGACATTTTCTTTCAAATCGCCCAGCCTCTTCCGTCGACCAAAATATTTTAAATAAATTCAATTTGATTATTTATTTTAACTTGAATTTATATTGATTGTAACTATTATGATATATATTATTAATCGCTGTCTTACTATCCGTGGATATTTTGTTTTCTTTGCTTTAACTACAATGCTATTATAATATTCACAAAAAAATGACCACCCTTTAGTTTAATTTATGTCTTTAATGATGCTAAAGCAGGCGACAAGATTTCCTCGGAACACTCTAGTTATACACTGTTAGTTACACACTGTCATACATTTAAAACTGTATCTTTAACAAACTTTAGGATCCAAACTATCCTATAAGGTTATAGAATACTATCCAGAACATTATTCCTAGACTATCCAGAATATTATCCAAGACTATCTACAGCATTGTTCAAGATTTTACAGAATACTTTCCAAGACTATCCATGATATCATCAAAGATTATCCAGGATATCATCAAAGACTATCCAGAGCATTATCCAAGCATTAACTGAGACCATCCAAAATATAACCCATCACAGTTCTCACCTCCCTGGCACAGGGTAAGGTATTTTATGAAAAGAAGCAATCTTACAATTGTATGTACTCAGGCATTACACCAATAAGAGAGATTAATTACTCTATATTCAGGCATTACACCAATAAGAGAGATTAATTACTCTCTATTCAGGCATTACACCAATAAGAGATTAATTACTCTATATTCAGGTACATTGTATTACAACAATAAGAGAGATTAATTACTCTATATTCAGGTATTACAAGAGAGATTAATTACTCTATATTCAAGTATTACAACAATAAGAGAGATTAATTACTCTCATTTCAAAATCAAAACAAGACATAATCACTACTCTGCAGTGACAGGCAAATATCACACATGAAATAAATTAGAATTTAATATAATAATAGTTTTATTTTTAACTAATCTCAGGTGACTTTGGAATCTATCTGTCCTATCGGATCAGTTTTACTGTCTTTGATTTCTAATTTTACTGCTGAACTCTGAACTCCTTTCCCTTTTGGTAAATGAATCTGTAGGACCTGGAAATGATTCAGTACATTTTGTATTTTCACTGGGTCTACTTTGTAGTCTTCCGCTATGTCAGCCGCGCTGTATTGGCCTTTGGATTCTGAGTATTTTCGTAATAGCTCCATCATTTGCATGAAGTTGACTTTCCCATGTGCGACTCGGTTTGGAATGTGATATCCATATTTGTCATATGTACTCTCCACTTGTAAACGATTTTCTGGCAGGGGGCGGTTTGATTTTGATTTGACCTGAAAGGAAATCAAAGTGATATACTTTATTGCCAAATAAATTTTCCAACCATATCTTAAATTATTTATCCAATTTCAGCTGCTTGCACTGTTTAGTCAGTTTCAGAACAAGTATCAATCAGAAAAATATAGCTGCACATGTAAGACACATTTTTGTTTGGGATTGAACACCTTTGACAAACCAGTCTAGTGCTTTGCCAATCAAGCCACAAAGTTAATCCATACACATAGTCCCTATGCTAGTAGAACACCATATGTCTCACATCATCACATTTAGAATTAAAATTGATATGAAACACTAATCTATACCAATATATACATGATATAGGAAGACTTCAAGAGGTCAAATTAATGATTGAGAAGTAAACAAATTTCTTATATTTCACATCCTCTCTAAGCATATATATGGTTTCTCACTCAAGACCTCTGTTCCTACCTCTGGTGCTGATCCATAAGACTCTAGGTACATCCCCTTCATTCGACTGTTTAATTGTTCATTCTTCATTAGCAGTGATGGGTCAGGATTAGCTGTAAGCAGTTTTTAAAAAAGCAATGAATCGTATCATCTAAAGGTGCTTTACATTTTCACTTTCTTAGAGAAAAGTTGCTGACTGCATTACCAGCAAAATCTGCTGCATTTAACACATGCTACAATAGTCCGAAATATCTGGCATTTTTAGTAATTTTGATATTTGATGTACAAGGAAAATGTCAGAATCAGTGCCATTATGAAAAGTGGGAATTCACCGCCTCCAACTGGAGGCACCATTCTCCGGTCAATTTTCAATAATTGCGAACCGAATTAAATTTGTTGTTCCATTATAATATAAAGTGTCTGGTGAAAACATTTTATCAAACTGTCAAGGTTTGTTTTGATTTTGTGCATTTTGAAATCTTGTGAGACCTGTACTGAAATGTGGAGTGATATCATCTTTTAATATAAGCAATATCGGTGAGAACTAGAAGTGAGAGGCGAAATTACAACTTTTCATAATGGCGCTTGTTCTGACGTTTTCCTGGCACGTCAAATATCAAAAACCTGAAAAACGTCTGGAAAACGTCAGATATTTCGAACTAATGCTGGAATAATTAAGTGCTCTGTGACTGAAATTATTTTTTAGTACTGAAACCTCAAGATGATTGGAAAACGTTCTAATCATAGAGTCACGCCATTCTTCTTTGTACTTGCTTACAATGTTACTGACAACCTTCATCATGTCAAACATTAGCCTGATCAGGGATAATTTTCGATAGATCTATGTGAATTTAGCACAAAACTGTTGACAAGAAACATTTGGCATTTTATTAACACATTTAACAGATACAGCATGATAACAATAGTCATATATGATTTACAGTTTTGTAGACTTTGTTATATTTCTCCAAGCTTACCGTATACGTCCTCTTGATCTTTTGCACGCGATTTGTGTTTCGGAGCTGCTCTTGGTTTATCCTTTTCCTTCTCAATCTGTTTCAGTGCTCTTCTTTCAATGTCATAGTAGGCTTTCGGTCTTATGAACTTCCTGACAGATCCACCCATGCTTTTTTATGTAACTTTAATGTTTTACACTGACATTGAAAATTCACGCTTTATTTTCCATTTCCGGTTTTAACGATTAGTGGAGAAGTCGTTCTTCTAAACATTCGCGAGTGACGAGAATTACGTTATTAGTTTCGATTATTCATTTGTTTATTCATTAATGTTGTTATTAATCTAGAACATTAATTCTAAATGCGGCAAGTCTTTCGGGTTCTTAATTTTGGGACAGTGAAAACCAAAAGGACACGTCACAAATGCAATTAATTTCATTAAAAAAAAACCTTCAAACGAAACTACCAATGACGCTTAAAAGGGTGGGAATAGAATTTGGAAATAAACATTCTCCCCTTGTAAATTTTCAAAAGAAAAATTATGCCCTCCGCTGGCAAGAAAAAAGATAATCTTAACTTCACTAGTGCTACAACCTCGCCAAAGGCGGATCCATGGCCGGTGCACCAGGCGCACCCCCCCCCTTTTGGATTTTTTGTATTTTTTGGGGGTGTGACCGGTCGGCAGGGGATGCTCACCCCTCCATGGCACCTGATCCCACCTCTGATGTCTTAGAGGTCCGTGTTTGCTCTGCTCCTATTTTGTAATGTTTAGTGGACTTTTGAGCTTGAATACTGTTCGTTATCTCCACATATTTCTTGTAAAACTTTTATGTCCATTATCCTAAAATCAAGGGAAAAACATCTCTTATTTGTAAGAATCCGTCAGCTTCCGGGGACTTTACCATACGCGGTAGTAACCCCTCTCTTCTATTTATGCAGGGCTGGGAGTAACCTTCTTAAATAGTCTTCTTTATATCCACGTTAAAAACCGTTTGGGAATATGATATTCCTCTCTATACATTTAGGGCTGAGAATAGTGAATGATTTGCATTAAGTCGTATCAATTTAATTCTTTACTGGCTCAAAGGAACATCCTGTAAAATGTGAAGATAATAAATGGTAATAAATTTCATAAATCCAGTAAACGAAACAAATCGTGAAAGCAAAAACGGACCTCTGGAGACACAAGAGGTGGGATCAGGTGCCTAGGATGAGTGAGCATCCCCTGTTGACCCGTCACACCCGCAGTGAGCCCTATGTAAGTGTGTTGTTAGCCATATATATAAAACAAAATGTAGCATGCTTGTTTCTAACATTAAAACAGTATAGGATCGACAACATTAGCATTTAAGGTATGTAACTCGTCAGCTTTTAAGAAAAGTTCATGCAGTCAGAACCTCTAACTTCAAAACTATTTATTACAATTCAATTATTATACAATGCAAATTATTCAACATTGAATTAAAAAACTGCTCATAAAATCATAAATAAACAAGATTTATAAGGGACTATTTCTTGTGAAGGAAAATCGATATTTAGAAGAAAATTCTTCAAATCGACACATTTGTTAAAATTAATATCTTGGAATTTTAGCCCCACATATTTTTACTCAGAAAATAATTTCCGTTATTATATGCTAGGAATATCAAATATAGGTCTCGATATATATATTTTAGAACACATTTTGCACATTCACTCAACAGACTTTGCCAAGAAATGAAGATATATATAAAAAGTCAATAAAATTTACACTTTTTTTTTTTTTTTTTTTTTGCCTGAAAATCGCATATTTTAACCAATATCTCAAAATTCACATCACTGACCCCAACATTTTCTTTCATTATTTTATACTACACGATACTTCCAACCGATCAGCACTTAAGTCATAAAAAGTTTGATACAAGAAGTTATTTTATTGCCTATTTAGGTCTTAATACCCCAAAATATGATACTTTTTTTTAGTGCAAAAGGTCACATAATAATTTATGCGCATTAACTTGCATGATTTGTTCAATGATAAATATTAATATTATTCAAACTATTTTACGTAAAATAAGACTATATTAATCGCCATCATTACATCTGATAAAATGTGATAAAGATTAACCAAAGAGTTACAACTTAAGTGCAAAAAGGTCAACTTAATTGTACCGTAGCTTTGTAAGATGCACACTGACCCCTAATTTTCTTTGCGATTTTGAGTCATGCTGTATAAGTACTTATCAAAAAATATGCTTCTCAAAAAATCCTTGATCTAGCTAATTTCACGAGTGACATACCTTAAGTGCAAGCTGAAGTACTAGTATTATGGCATGTATAGGGAGAATTTTTGTTTCCAAGTTACATGGCCTAAAATGTTTTTTTTTTTTTTAAGATAAAGTTTTAAATTTGAATTTATCATTCATGTGTGCACGGCTGTCGGAGTCGTTACAATTTTTTTTTTGGGGGGGGGGGGGGGGGCATCCCTAGGTGTATCGGATTGCATCTTTGACCAATTAATCTTGGTAAAGTCCCAGAGTCACACTGAGATCGCCCCGAACCTGGACGGGTTTGACCACAGGTATTTGGAGTATGGTCCCCCCTTTTGTTTTTAAATATATCGTTTTCGACTGATACATAACTTTTTATGTATCAGTCGAAAACTATATATTTAAAACAGCTTATAGAGACAAAGGGTTACATTATCGATAACATATTGTGCATATTAGAATAAAAAATAGGAAAAGGGTGACTTGATCCCAGATTTAAAAAGAAAAAAATGGAAAGGGGGGTCCCATACCCCAAGTGTCTGTGGTGAAAATGAAAATTTATAAAGAACCGAGCTCTTATATCAGAGTTATCTCTCTTAGGTTGTCTGAGTGTGAATCTACCGTTCATTAGAAGAATCAGAACGCTTCTTCCGATAGCACTTGCTGCCCCCAACCAAAATGAAATAGTTCTTATTTCAATTTTTGCCTTATTTAGTTTCATTTTATTTATTCCTTGCCTAAATTCTTCTTCAAGACAATTACACTTAGCCATATGCCCCCCCCCCCAGTGGGGGGGGGGGGGGGGCTACTTTATGGGTGTCTGATTTTTCTTTTTAATTTCATTTTGTTTTCATTTCTATTCTTATAAAAGAATTTTTGCTTAGAAGTACCCCTATCCAAACTGAAAGTAATGGGTTCTGCCCCGACCCCCAAACTGAAAATGCTCCCTACGGGCCTGTTGCAGAGGTGTCTTTTTTTTTCTTTCCAGTTTTTTTTTTTTTTTTTTTTTTTTTTTTGGACGCCCTTTCACCACCTCCTTAAAAACTATGTTAAAAGCTTGAATCGTTAATTAACGTGTGAAATAAATAACAATACATATGGTTTATAGAAAGGGAACAGAACATTCAATAAAACAATTTTTTATTTATATGTTGCACTTCATACTGTCAAATATTTCCAAAATTACTCATTTCTTTTTACATTTAATTTATTAAAACTTAATAATTTGACCAAGTTTGACTGGATGCAGTCGTAAGACAGTATAAAACCCTCACTTGTTTGCATCCAGGAGTACTCTTAATATACTGATAATGAACTTACTGAATAAAAAATAAAACAGTTAGTATTCAAAAAATACGAAGACTAAATTTTGTACTCACTTTATTTAACGTAATATTATTACAGAATTCGGTGGAAATATTTCAACCATAAACCCGAATAAGATGAGTTAAAAAATTTAATATATCTTATAATACTTCAGAATAATTCAAAATTTAACACTTCAAAAATAAACAAAATCAAAATTTAATAAGGTCATCACAATATACACTTTATAATGTGGATGTAGTTTGATATCACAGACACCCAGCCTTTTAATGATGCAGACCATTCAAATCCGTATACCTATAGGACCTGGGATGGAAGGGGTCATGTTCAAGTATCCCCTAAGCTGGGGGGATCTCGAGAAGAAATTACCCCTTAAACTCAATGTTATAAGGAAACTAACTTCGATTTCAATTCTTAAAAAAAATGATTCACCAAATATGTTGGCATACGACGATTTACAAATGAATATGAATATAAGCACATATTGTGCTATCAAATAATACCCACAAGCTGTCATAAGACAGTAATATCCGCCTGTAAGTGTTTGCCCCTAACGTACTAACTCTCCTTCGTTCCTGAGTAACTAGCGAAGAAACCGGCACAATATATGTGTATCAAGTTGAGCAGAAAATGCATGATAGACTTTTGAAATATTTTCTTTTTCCTACAACAGTTTCTGATTTTTTTATGGCGTTTTCCTGAATGCAAAACAAAATTGTTGCTACCTGCTGCTCCGTAACGTACGTCCTGTGACAGCCTCCCCCTTTTTCAATGACTACTTGTCTTCTGCTAATAATATAACATCTTTGACACATGATATTATGTATCCATACTCCATTTGAGTGGGGTTTTTAAAAATATTTTTTAATGCCTTTTTACAGCCTGGGATTAGAGGGATCTATCTATCAGTTTTCGTCTCTTAAGTAAGAGTTATAAGCACTTAAACATCAGTTTCTAAGTTAAAGGTTCACGTTGAAAATACTCTTCAGATTCCAAATTTTATAGATTTTCATCAGACAAGAAAATAACATTTTATTACATAAAGTTCATGGGAGTTTCAACAATTCTAGTTTGTACAAATGTACATACGTTATTAGATAATGTCTGCGATTTTTCAAATATAATATAAATTAAACTTGGTACACCAAATAATGATAAAAAACAAAATTTATTTGTCCTACACCTTTCTCAATTTTCCTCCAACTTTCCAAATATGCCGTCCCACATGCCATCTGTGTTAAAAACAAGAGGCTCAAGGACCTTAACTTTCACCTGAGTATAATACAACACTATAAAGGATCCATAAAAGTATAAAATAAAACAAGAAACTGATAGATGAAGATATATCGCCCAAAATCATGAGAATAACGATGATCATGCAGATGGGATCAGCAAAATAGTTAATCTAGTACTCGAACCTACAGTGTATATATAAGATCTATTTACTTTCCTGCTCTTGCCAGTGTAATACACTAAGCGAATTTTCACTATATAATTGATATCTAAAAACCCTTCTCTTTAAACCACCAATATATAATTGTAAAATAAGAATAAAAGAAAACCAAAACCTTAGATGTCTTATGATATATCTCTACTAAAAAGAGAAGTCCGCAAACTTGGAAGAAGAATTCAAATTAATCCAAAAGATTGCAAT